TATTAGAATCATGTCAATACTGGTAAGCCCAGAATTCATGTATAGCAGACTTGGCATCACTTTTTACTCTCTGTAAGGCCCATTATCACACCATCAAGATATCCAAGTGCAAAGGTAGATGGCACCAGAGCATCTGGTATAAAGAGGATGGAAGATGGACAATTAGTGTCCAGCCCTGGGGCTCAATCTCCCAACTCAATGAGGTACTTTACTTTCTGTAAAGCTATAAAGGCACTGTTTAAATTTTCCAGTTATATTTTAGTACTTTCATGAATAAATAAATAAATAAATAAATAAAAGCTGTTTCCAGGTAAATTTTGTGAGTCTGGAAATTTATGAAGGACCAGGATGTATTTCTGATGAATATCTTTATGCTATTCTATAAAACAAGTATTCCTAAAACAATACTTTCCTAAACATTTTTTATTTGATTTGTTTTATTACTGAACATTTAAAATGGAAAGAAACTGTATGAATGAAGCACCCTTGTCCAATCCAAAGCCCAGCTGAACTCTTTACATCTTCACTAAAGGAGAATATTCATCTAATTGCCACACACTTTAACATGAAGATGAAAACTCCAAATAGTCTGAAAACATAGGGCTGAATCAGTTAAGGCCCCCATCATAAGATGTGATAGTAAAGTGTCCGAAAGAAGGCTTCGAGGTTAAGTGTGTAGAAATTAAACTTCCCCCAATCCTTGGTAGCCTCATGTCTACTACTCTCATCTATACAGCTTGGTGTCAAAGAGTCACACCCAAAGTCTCACATGGCAAGCACTCGGGGTCCCCACTACTCTGGGCCATGGGAAGAAGAAAGGCAGACACAAACACATGCGAAACAACCTCAAAAACTCAAAGAACTCCATCTGCGTAAAATGGAGATGATGCCTTCTCTAGCACTAAAAGCTGTGGACCTCAATGGAAGATAAAAAGGTGTAGGATAACACTGTTTTGTCCTTCCTGTATAGCCTCAGGAGATAGTTTAGGTTTATTGGGTTGCTCCCATCACAGTACTCCCATTCCTGTTTTTTTTTGTAACTTCTTTCTTTGTCCTCTGTTGACTTGTAAATATTGCTTTTCTCTTCTCCCTAAATCCTTTGCATAGTTTATTCAGAGCACTGTCCTTTTCCCATGGACACAAGAAGACAGTATATGCTATGCTTTTGTAATGTGACTTTCAGTGATACTTTCCTCCTGGGCATCTGTTCTCTCACCTTAGCCTAAGCTGCCCTTACTTCCTAGCACCCCCCAAAGTAGAGTCCTGATAAGGGACTGGACGGAACCAGGGCAAGTGGTAAGCAGTGTGCTACCCTGGCATCGAGATGAGCCTGGCCAAAGCGCCATAATGCTTAACTATAAGTTAAGAGCTTGGTCATGAACAAATGCTGTCATTATCCAAAAAGTAAGGTAAAAGGTAAAGGCCCTCCCGTTGATCGTCGATTTGCTCGAGCGGGCCCAGTAACGTCTCCATTGGAGACTTTGTTGTTACTGTGTCTGGCATATCGAATACTCTCGGTAGCTTGCCGGGCTCTCCGAGAGGGGCGGAGGAATCAAACTCGGGTCGGCCATGCTGGCCGCTTGTAAGGCGAACGCCCTACCCGCTGTGCTATCGCTCCAGCCCACATGCTACAGTACTCCCAGATTTTCATTGTTCTTTACCATTCACCCAGAAGTCCTTCCAGAAAGAACAGTGCTGTATCCTCACTGGGGCCTGTGCTCTGCTGCTTGTTCTGCTTTGTGAGAACAAGTTGTTTGGAGACCTCCTTGGCTTGAGATGCTGATCTCCATTTTTGGTCAGATAAGCAAATAATGCATAACTCATTATAAAAATCTGTGTAATAGTTTATTTTCAAAAATTAATAATACTAGCACAGCGGTAGGGCGTTCGCCTTACAAGCGGCCAACATGGCCGACCCAAGTTCGATTCCTCCGCCCCTCTCAGAGAGCCCAGCAAGCTACCGAGAGTATTCGATATGCCAGACACAGTAACAACAAAGTCTCCAATGGAGACGTTACTGGGCCCGCTCGAGCAAATCCAAAAAGTAGTAACTAGATTTGGACCCTCCTAGGGTTAGGAATGATTAATCTGGCCTAAGCGCTGTAGTCTGAGTCTGTGGCAAGATGTTCCCAGGAGAACTGCCCTTCAAGCCTCAATGGTATCTCTTACTGTGTCCACACAAAAATAACCAGTATTAAGATGTTGATAGTTACTGGACTGAGAAAAGGAGAAAAACACTTTAGGAGGTATTTTGCCTGGGGCAGTCAGGAAGGGTTTTCTTATGTTGATTTTGCTACCTGACTGGGTACAGTGTCAGTGCATAGGGCAGGGGAGTTGGAGAGGCAAGAGAGTTGGAGAGAGAGAGAGAGAGCAGGGTAGCATGATGGACCAGGAGAGGCTAGCAAGGGGGACAGTGAGGAAAGAATGTAGAAGAATACAGGAGCAGGCACGTGAGAGAGAGAGAGAGAGAGAGAGAGAGAGAGAGAGAGAGAGAGAGAGAGAGAGAGAGAGAGAGAGCGCGCGCCCAGGCTGCGAGATGGAGTGATGAGTGGGAGAGACAGGAGGAGACAGAAATGAGGAACAGTGTGAGACTAGAATGGGAGGCTCAGGAAGATTGGGTCAGGAGTGTGGGAAGAATGGAATAAATGGTATCTGATCAATCAACTGGCTTGGCCCTCTTTTCATCCACTGTCTGTCCCATGGCCTGGCCGCCCCGGCTAGGGGGGTGACCCGGGCCCCCCAGAGCCTGGGTGGCCAGGGGAAGAGCCGTCGGGGGGGGCCCAAGCTGCCCCTCAAAATTTTATACAATAAGGTAAAAGTTTTTGCTTTTAAAAAACTTTTTATCTTGGGAGGTTATTAAATCCACCAACAAGCTTCAGTTTCTGTTGCAGAAATTAAACTCAATATGGGCTCAAAATATATGGAAAATTGTAAAAAAGAACATGAAAACAAATTCCCTTTTAGAAGCACAATGATATTTTTCTGGAGAGAAAGAAAAATTGCATAGAGAGCAGAAAACTGATCTTCCTCAAAGCAATTGTTTCCATGGTTTATCTTCCAAAATGTGGGCCAATCATGAATTCCAGTTAACACATCTTAGAGAGAGCCAAGCTTGGAATATGTAGAACCAAGAACTTGTTCAGAGATCTCTTGAAAGTCTTTTCCTTCCCAAAACAGTGAGAGTGAGAAGAGAAAGCAGATGGGTTTACATTGATTTTGGGATAGGTACCTTTCATTGAGATAAATATAAGTCTCTGCAAATAAATCTAAGATTAAATGAGAATTTCAGAGAGACAACTTGTTTATTTTTTTTCCTGGTGTGTGTATTCTATCAAATTAAATCTACATGGAATCCTAGTATATCTGAAATAGTCACTTTTGAAAAACTGAGTTTTTGTGCTGGAGAGATAATACAGTAAGCAGGGCAACCTTGGCCAACCTAGTTTCAATTCCTGGCCACATGGCCATATAGTACCATAAATGGCCATATAGTACCATATAGCTCCATACAGAACCCTGAGCTCCGCCAATAAGCCCTGAGCAGTGCTGGGCGTGGACCAAAACAAAAAAGGAAAAGAGTCAGGGCTTTCAAAAAGTCAGCTTCTCTTCCCAATTTCAGTCCAGGACTCTTGAACCTAGAACCCATTTTCCTTGGTGGTCTGTTCTTGTTGCTCAAAGGAGTCCTGGTCACATGAGTGCTTTCACCCAACACAGCCAAGAGAAGACTCCTTCCCTGCTTCAAGGCTTCTGATCCCTCTCCATGGTAAGGACCAGAAAAACATCCTGAGACGTGATGGAGATAAGCCTCAGTGATGGGAAAGTGACAGCAGAGAGAGAAAACAGCCTCCTTAAGCAAATGACTAGCCTCTTGTTTTAGTAGCAGAGAAAATTTAGGAAAACTTAAATTTATGATGAACTATTTAAAATTTCATAGCTAATTTTACTGATACTTTAATTTACTTAATCTAGGGTCAGGACATAGTACAGCAGGTCCCTCATCCAAGTTCAACTCCCAATACCAGTCCTCTGAATATCACCGAGCAGAGCCCTGGGGGAGGCCAGTACTATCAGAGTGGCCTGGGGTATTCCAGCATCACAGGATCTGACAGCATCGCATCCTCAGGCCTTGCACTGGTGGGGCCTCTGGGCTTCCTCAGTGCCTCTCACCCAGAAGAGAGGGGATGAAGGGAGGGAAGGGAAAGGAGGCTAGATAAAGCAAAGTGAAGCGAAGAGGAGAGAAGAGGACTAGAAAAAGAAAAGAACTAATTCTGATTTAATTTTTGGTCTAGATCCTAGTTCAAAAGGCTGCACTTTGCAGTGGACTGCAGACAGAATTCTTAAGGCATTCTTATTATAAAAGAGTTAACCAGTTATCATTTATGAAGGAGACCACTATAACTTTCAATTTAACAACTGTTTTTTTTTTTTTAAATTTTCACTCTCTGGGATTCCTCAGTCCCTCTCCTTCTTGCTTATTTTATGCAGGGCTGAGTTCTTTAAATAGGCACCATGTTACTTTACTTTCAATGCAAGAGAAAATGTCTGTTTTACCCTAGTTGTTTTCCCATCTCCCAATTCCTTATTAGCAAAGTGACACAAACCTCAGGATGCAACCCAAAACCTACGTTCTGTTGCTCCTATCACATTACTTATTCCAAAAAAGTCAAAGACTGTCAAAGATGATAATATGGTCAATGTCATCTCGAAGAGTCTGCCAAGTTCTAATCCATATGGCTAGGAAGTGTGTAGTGAAGATTTCTGTTGGTATCGCACAAGAAGCGAAAGCAAAGCACAAATGCCCTTAACATGGAGCGGATGGCTTTTGCTGGAAACCATCCGCATTTAACCCCCCAAGGCTTTGAAATGCTACCATGCATCTCAATTTCAATTCTTGACTTCTAGTAAAATCTGGGAAGACCTCAGCTAGTGCTCTGTTGAAGGTCCAGGACTGAGGAGGTTTAGGGCAGAGAAACGGGGCAGACCTTGGTGGGCACACTCACCGCCGCTCCAGTGGGCGTCCATCGCTGGAGATGCTGCGAGGAATGTTGGCCCTTTCTGGAACTGGCATCTTCCCATCTCCTTTCCCGGCATTCAGCCTCGAGGTCATGGGGCTCTGCACCTGCGAGGGGACTTGAGACGAGTGAGGCCCCTTGCCAGCATTCCTCTGCCATTTGTTGTTATTTCGAAAGGGAAACTTGAATTCGTAGGAAACGCCTTCATTCATCTTGTACTCCATCACAGGCATGCGGTAGGTTTCAGAGCAGCTCCTATGGAGGGAGGGCACAGAGAAGAAAAATGATTAATGCGTTGGCTTGTTTGTGGTGAAACCACAATGATTCACATTAACGGTGAAGGCTGATCAAACACTTCCTCCATTGTTTCATACCCTCCTTCAAACACTGGGCCCTGTAATTATTTTTCTTTCAAAACCCAAGAACCCCAGGAAGTATCACAGATGTATTTTCCTTTGCTCAGGTTCAACTGTTGAGTCTTCAAAAAAGCAATGCGAACCACCACTATGGCAAGGGGGGGTGGGGGGACAGGTGGTGGGTAGCGGTGGGCAGGGCTGTCCTGAGCCCTGAGGATGGCAGTCCACCAGGATGGCACGATGGGGGAGCAGACCCTGAGCAGACCCCTCAGAGGGAATATCAGGGGAAACATGCCATCACTGAGTAATGTGGTTGGGGACCCAAATGAGTGTACAGTTTTGAATTTGTTGGGATTCTTAGAGTGAAGAAAGAAAAAAAGGTGGGGAGATTATTTTTGAGATACAAATTGAGAGCCTGATTCAGATCAGAAAGGGGAGGTCAGGGGGTGGGGGGAGGAGAGAAGGTCAAATTATACAGATTTGGCAACATGAAGTTGCTAGGGAACAAAGCATAACATACAAAGCCCTGAAATCAGTCTTTTACTTTTAACCTATTATCAATTTGTCATGTACACACTGATTTAACCCCCAGGCCAGAAATCTGCCACAGTACTACAGTTCTTGGGGGGCCAATCTGAGGAAAGGTAATGGTGGGCACGGATGTCTCCTGTTGCCTCTTTTCGTACTATCCTCTCCATCCTGATTCCTATCCGAGGAAGCGTGAAACCCACTTTTCTTTCCCTCTACCTAAGAGCAGAGGAAGGGCCATTCAGTGATTAACGTGAGTGATAAATTACTGGGGGTGAGGGAAACCTATCCCTACTCAGACTGTTCATTTGAGTTTCATCACCAGATAACTGTGGTACCAGACCGCCTCTAAGTGAAAAAATGACTGGTTTTCTTAAAGGAATTCTAAGGACTGAAACTCAGGTGGGAAGATGAGGAAAGAGACATTTAAGAGAGAGTGAAAAACAGTTCTTCAAGAGACAGGAAGAGACAGCACCAGGAGCTTGACAACCTATGCTGCCTAAGAGAAGTACAAGACAAATGCATATGGGTCATATATGCAATTCGAAGCAGCTAATTACTAGTCACAGTACATGTAAGTCACAGTACATATGTGAACCAGTTGAGTTAATACAACATTCAATCCAATATGTCAAAAATGGAATCACATGGACAGGTAATCAACAAAGTAATATCAAACAAATATTGATGAACAATTTACACTCTTCTAAATGTGTGCTTTACGCTGACAGCAGACTTCACGTGTGGGTTAGTCACATGACTTGGGCTGTGCAACTGCTATGCTCCTGGCGCCTGTACCACACAGGGCAGGTTCAAAGAGCACCCTTCTGGGGGAAGAGCAATAGTACAGCAGGTATGGCACTTGCCTTGTTCACAGTCAACCACGGTTCAATCCTCAGCACCCCATATGGTTTCCCGAGCCAGCAGTGGTACTTGAGCACTTACTGGGGATGTGTCTTATGCCAGTGAAGAATACGTATGATGGATGTGCCACTTTTTCAGGCCCTTGTCTGTGTGTCTCCAGTACAACTTCTGGCTCTGCACTCAGGAATCATTCCTGGCGAGTCCTTGAGACCACATTAGATGCTTGAGATAGAACCTGGGTTGGCTGTTTGCAAGGCAAGCACCCTACTTGCTATACTCTCTGGCTCCCTCATTCTGATATTTTTGATGCAAATATGCCATTGCAACACCTTTTAAAAAATCTATTAATAAAGGTATTGCTAGTATAAAGCTTTTCATGACAGAAAATATGGCATGTGCTACTATATTTAGTGCTCAGGTTCTTTAAATATAACAAAGGAATGTTATACCTTGCCAATGGAATACTAATAAGAACAATAATCCATGGAAAAAATTTACCTCAAAATCAGTACTAGTTCTGTTGCTTCTTAGCAATAATCCCTTCTAACTGGAAAGTCCAGCAGATTATAAGTAAATTCTTTTTGTGCTAGGAAGAACAGATAAAGAACTGTGAAGAACACATACATTGCCACTATCAACTTTGGACACTAACTTCCCTAAATTTCCCTCCAAACTAGGCTTTTCTTTCACTTTTTCCTTTGCCAACAAAATTAAACACAGTTTCAATTTTGTGATATTCTACATGTACTTTCACAGGCTGCTTCAGTAACAAGGATAAAATAAATACTAATAATGTAGCAATAGAAAGAGGTTGTTTTCATCTTTTGGGCCTTATTAAAAAAATACTGACTTGGAATTGATAATGGGTACTGTTCTGTTCTCAAGAAGTGATTCAGTGGCATAACATTTGATACTAAGACTAGTTAAAAGACCCAACTGGCCTCAAATTTTGTCTTCTCTATAGTGTGTAATGCATTTTCATCACTTTGAATTTATTTAGCTAGAAACCCTTTGCATATTAACAGATGGTCATCTGATAAAGCCTAAGCAGGGAGAGAGGATTCATTCCTAAAGTATGAAAAAAGGGGACCAGAGAGATAGTTCAAAGGGTTAGAGTACATACCTTGCATGTGTGAGGCCCCAAGTTTGATCCCTGGCACAGCAGACACTCGTGTTCCTGCCCCCAGTACTGCTGGGGGTGGGGTGGGGGGGCGCATCCCAGCACTGCAGCCTTAAGAGGCAACATAGGCCCCAGCATGGAACCCTTCAACCCAGTGGGCTGAGCATCTCCAGGAAGTGGGTCTGCTCCTGGGTCCTCTAAACATTGTGAGGCCCAGGTAAGAATGCAATACAAAGGAGCCACAGAGCAAAATCTCAGTCTACTGTTTCTGGTGGCCTAGCACGGCCACAGGAACCACCCTCTAGCTTCCACAGACTAAAGGGAACTGAGGCTCAGTGAAAGATGAGAGCTGTGGGAGGAATCTGGATGTGGGCAGTACACAGAAGAACAGTGGTACAAGCTGGCCTTTGACAGGACATGCAAAAATGTTCATAAGAGAATTACAATTTCTTTCATTATTATCTTGGTAAATTAGGTTAGGTCCTGAACAACCCTAACTCTTAACATTGCCAGTGCGCAATGGGTCAGGCACCAATCTAGCTGCACTGGGTGCCAAAGTAGATTCACAGTTAGCCTCAGTTTACAAATAACGGAGGCTGATCTGTCTGAGGCGACAGAGCCAGGAAGTGAAAAGCCAAGGTTTGACCCCACAGAATGTTACTGAGGTTGGTCTTACTATAGTCATAAACTGAAAATAGTTCCAAATCTCCTGAAGTCTTCCCGGGAGCGGCTGCAGCATCTCCTGCAGTGGATAGGCTGAGGGAGGCGCGTTGAAACCTAAGTTAACTGAAATCCATTCCGTGTCCTTGTTTTCTTTTTCAGTTGTTTTCCTCCCACCTAAATTCCTGCCTAAATTCTTACTACCCATCACTTTTTTTTTCCCCTGGGGGGTGGGGAAATTGGTTGGGCCACACCCATTGTTGCTCAGTGCTTATTTCTGGCTGACTGTCCTGGTGGTGTTTGGAGAACCATATGCAGTATCAGGGATTCGCACCAGGGTGGGCTGCGTAAAAGGCAATGTCTGAACCCAGTACTATCTCTCTAGTCCCCTATTACTTTTTCTGTTTCCCTTAAGAGTCAGGGCTCAGGGCAGGTCCAAAAGGTGACAAAGTGACATCTGTTTGACTATTATGCATTGAAGTTATGTGCCAAGCAGTGGCTGCAGGAAGAATGCTCAGATACTCTGGGTCTCTCAAGCTGCAGAAAGAGTCTCTGAGGTGAGGGACTTTGATACTCTGGGAGCAGATGTGGAGTTGGAACACAGAATGCCTGAAACTATATTATTAACACTACCGTATATCAGAGTGTTAAAAAAAAAAACACCTCAAAAATAAATTAATCTCCAAGATGATCGGATGCAGGGAATCCCGTGAGCACCAGGAACAGAGCTTTCCTTATCAAAAAACCCAGGTCTGATTTTCTGGAGCAAATCCTACACACTCTCTCTCTCTCTCTTTCTCTCTCTCTCTCTCTCTCTCTCTCTCTCTCTCGTTAATTAGTAAAGAAGGGCAGAGGAAAAGTTTTGCTTTTCACCAACACTAAGAAATAGAGATAGAAAAACAGATGAAAAGCATATGAACAGAACATCACAAGGCTGGATCTTTCATAAGGAGAGTCATATATTAGAAGAGAGCTTGGTTACTGAAAAGCTGTATGACTCTGACTTGGAAAAAACAATTTGCTTCTTTGGACTAGTACAACTAACCTGAAAAATAAAGGAGGGCTTGAACCAGATGGTCTAAAAAGTTCTTCTAGGGCAAAAAAGCTGCTTCTGCTCATTATTATTTATTCTTTTGGTGGGGGAGTGGGTCTGGAGGGCCATACCTCACAGTGCTCAGGGCTTACTCCAGGCTCTCTGCTCAGGGAACATTCCTGGTGGTGCTGGTGTTTAGCCAGTGTAGGCCATGTGCCAGGCCAGGAATTAATTCCAACACTCTCTTTCCACTCTTTTTTTGCTCTTTAAAATACTTTTAAATATAAAGAAACAACTTTGTAACTCATTCTTATTTAAAAGCAATTTGAAGGGCCTAAGAGAAAGCACAGCAGGCAGGGGGTTTGCCATGCACCTGGCCACCTGGATTCAATCTCCAGCAACTCATGTGGTCTCCCAGGCACTACCAGGACTAACCCCTGAGCAGAGGAAAGGGAAATCTCTAAGCACAACCTGGTGCTGCCGCCAAAACAATTAAATGAATAAAGGAAATTTGATCCTTTAATATAACTTGTTTGCTTTTAGCTCTTCCTCTTGAACTGCTATCTTATAAAAAAAAAAAAACAGTAGGTTAGAGGTCCCCAGTAGAACAACAATTTAATCTGTGGATATTTTTCATCTAACAAAGAGAATGTTGACCGAAGATTCTGGTGTCTAGCCTGAGCCTGTGGGAGAGAGGGTGGGGGGCGTGGCCAGGGCGGAGGAGGAGCCCTCCCTCTGTGAGACCTTTCACTTCTGGGAACCTTCAGAGAGAGGAGGAAGTCTCATACCTGCTGCCCTCCCCTGTCCTTCCCACTGATGAAGCATCAAGGGAACCCTCTCTCCAAGCTCATTCCTCAGGGGAACTGAAGCTGCTAGGAGGGTGAGAACATCAAAAAACCCAGAGGCTCAGTAATGTTGCTTTACTTTCCTTGTCCTTCTCTTTCAAAGCTTGAGTTTGACTCAATAAAAAATAAAAATTAAAAAAAAAAAAAACCTAACAAACAAACATGATAACTTCTCAGTACCTGTTTTGCAAACCATAATGTCCCAAAGGGGGAAGAGAGCAAGAGCGTGCGCGAGAGGGTGAGTGAGAGGGTGAGCGAGAGTAAGAGGAGAGAGAGAGAGAGAGAGAGAGAGAGAGAGAGAGGGAGGGGCTGAGGGAGGGTGGTGGGAGAGAAACTGGGAACACTGGGGTGGGAAATGTAAACCAGTAGAGGGATGGGTGTTGGAATGTTGGAACACTACGATTGAAACCCGACCATGATCAGCTTTGTAACCGTACCTCATGGTGATTGAGTGAAAAATAAAAAATAAAAAATAGTTGAATTTGAAAGCAATTTATAGCGGGCTCTGCTTACTTCCCATGTATATGGGCAAAAGCCAAATTTACCAAAGCCCTAGTTTGTTGTTAAGCTTTTGTTTTGTTCCCCACGGAAAAAGAAATTAAAACCCAAACTGCCTTTTTCAAAATTGCCACAGGCACATAAAACTCCTGGGCACTTGTAATTCTTCAGATCACTACTGGGTGCCTGTGGTCCCTGGTGGGGATCTTGGAAACCCTGCCTGAGTAGCCGGCATCTGGGGGGCAGCAGACAGAGGCCTGACTTGCCTCCCGCAGGAGCAGCAAGAAGGGCAGACAAAGAGGAGACTGACTAGTCAAAGAACAGAGTAATTAGTTGCTAGGAAAACAGCAGTGGGAGTGTGAAGTGCGGAGGAGAAGAAAGAAATGACAGATGAGCATTATCTTATTTTGTTGAGAACTGCAGCAAGGTGTTAATGCTTCAACTGCTTATTTGAAGCCCTTTCTCAAAGCAGTCTTTTGGGTAGAAACTGGAGTGGCTCTGGCAGTGTGGGGCTGGAGGTGATAGCCCTTTGCCCCATACTTTGGTGAGTCCTGCATGTTCCATGCAGGGCAGGGGATGATGGCCGTGACAATCTCAGGAACAGTGGTGGAAGATGAAGACTAGCACTTCTTAAAGGTCACAAAACAACCTGTACCAACTGCTTAAACATCTTCTTGGTCACACGGGAGGACAAGGGTAGAGGGAGGAAACAGGACAAAGAATAATGCCGTGGCTGTAGAATGCCTATGAGTTCGTTGCCAAAGCTTTTAAGAAACGCTTAAGAAATAATGGGTTCAGAGAAAATTAACAGGTTAAAAAATAGTAGTGAAAATAACACATGCATGCCCAAAGGAGCAAAGAAATAGTTGATTAAATTGGTTCTATCGCAAAATCTCCCTACAGACAGAGAAATTAAATTTTCAACAGCACTGCTGGCTTGGCAGGGGCTGGGAAGCGTGAGGTGCCTGAGCTTGCCTCTGGGAAAATGCTGGGCAACGAAGTCCCAAAGCATGACAAGCAGGACCAGTTCTCAGAAGCCAGTTCCTCGTAGGCAGCTGGGAGAGAGTCTAGGGAGTCACCGGGCAGCCCTCCAGACTGAGACAGTGGTGGGTGAGCGAGCAAAGGGCGCAAATGGGGGAGTTAGAAGAACAAGTGTCATGGGACAGGAACAGAAGAGAAAGAAGTCTGACACTTTGTAGTGCGGAGGATCTTTTAAAAAAGCCTTCAGCATTTCTCAGCCACCAAATGTAAGATGTTTAAGATGGGGATAACCGGACTTCTATTTTACAATGACAACTTTGTAAATCCAGAGATGTAAATCCTGGAAATGGTTCTTATTCATCATTCTTTCCAGCTGCTGTGGCCACGTGTTGAAAGGCAGTTGGGTCCCGAGTCAGATTTTCCATGGAAGGAACTTTGGGCATTGCATGTAATCCAGCGCACTCCGCCCCCCCTCCCGTGCCCGCCCCACTCCTGCAGGAGACAGGCTACGTGATATGCAAGCCAGTCACGGTCTCCACTGAGACCTACCTCCGTGGGGTGCAGTCATCATGAGGGGGGATGATGACGACCTTGACCGTGACAGATGTTCTCAGGAGGTCAATCATCTGCTCGTGACTCAGGGTAGCCACGGCCACCTTGCAGATCTCCACCAGTCGGCTGCCTTGCCTCAGCCCTGCTTGCCATGCATAGCCATAGGGTTCCACATCTGCCACGATGCCCTCGTAGTTGACATGGAAGCCGAGCTGTCCTAGCCCATTCCTTCGCAGAGTCATCTCCACGGATTCACAACCCTTTGTTACAAACTAGACCAGGAAACAAGAGACCAGGTTTTAATGCAACGGGCATTAAGTGGTGGACACGAAATGGGAGAAACATTGTAAGCAGGGTAATTTCTTTTCTAAAAAATAAAGTTTACGTTTTTTTTTTAATTTGGGGGCCACCCCAGGGGTGCTCAGGGCTTACTCCTGGATCTCTGCTCAGGGATCACTCCTGATAAGCAGGGTTACTTCTAAATGTCCCATAGCCAGCTGAAGAGCAGACGGGTCATCTCTTCTTCACTAATCTCTATTCATAGATGAAAAAAAGAATACACTTACATCCAAAGAACTCAGTGGCTTCTCTGACATTACAAGGAAACCTCAAATGGATCTACAGGGAGCTGGCCATTGAAAGAAACTATTCTGTTACTCATTTTGCCCTAAGGGGAAAAAAAATCAAGGCAGCAGCTACTCATTCAAACAATTCTTTTCAGTGGCTAAAGGAGACTGGAGGGGCTACATTCTCAGTCACCAAGGCAGTGGGAGCAGGTCACAGGCAAATGGGTTTCCGACAGAAATACAACTTGGTTCTATTGGGCTGAAAGCTTTGTGAAAGGGGCATTATCTGTGGGCAAGGGGGAATAAAAGACTCACCTGCAGCCTTTTGACAATCTCTTTGATATCCTCACTGCTAATGAAACTTTCCACTGAAACACATTCTCCTCGTTCATAGAAGATTTTGACACTGGTGTCGGTTGAAGTCCACCCAATCACATCTCTGCAGGAGCAGTTGAAAACCACACTCTTTGTTTCCTGTTCGATGAGGACTATGAACTCATTGGAGATCCCCAAAAGACAGTCTATTTCCATAGCCTTGTTGTAGTCTTTGGCCCGAACCGTCCACACAATTGCCCCCATGCTACTGAGCTCAGCTCCAGGATATGGCTTAGACTTTTCCTTCTTCTTGGAAGCTAGAGAGATGAACGGGAACTTTCCAGATGGGTCAATAGGGGTGTTGGTGACATTCTTTTCTGCCAGATCTTTCAGGTATTCTTGGCGGGTCCGAGTTGCCATGGCCCGGAACTTTTCTGATTTATGAGCAGCATTTTCTGCGTTAATGACTTTGGCCAAAAGGAAGTCCCTGAACACATTTGACTTGGGGAAAGTGACTCCTTTGGGAATGGGTGGTCCAAAGGAAGGCACATCTCTGGACCTCGTGACAGCCACACTAAGTAGAAACAAAGTAGAAATTAGAGGTGTGTCAGTACTTCTCAGCTGCACAGCAGGAGAATAAAATGAAAACATTATGGAAAAGAATACTAGAGTTTATTGTCCCATAAGAAACAATACTCTTCCAATTAACCTCTGCACATATTTTCATTCAACCACATTTAGGCTTTATACAGTATCAAATTTTTCCTAGGTCCTAAACTTAGCTCCAAAGCTAAAATTTTGTCACTGATAGTGAATAAACCGTAATTCTATGAAAAAATTCATTGCAGTGTTTTGAAAAACAGACACATTATTTTTATGTTTTCTTGAGTATACTGTTGGCTGTTGTGGTGCTGGTAATAAAACTCAGGGTCTCACATGGTAAGGGATAAGCTCTGTCACTGACTAGATAGATCCACAGCCCAAAAGAGATATTTTAAAGACCTACTGATTATTTCAGTGGGTGGGCTATTGTGATCACATAACTTTCAGAACAAACACAGGTTTGATAGTCTCCATTTTAGATGTGATGCCACATGCTGTCATCTAAAATGAAAATGATGCATGGCATAAGAAAAATAAGTTTATTTGGGGATCTCCAAGGAGTTCATAGTCGATGTCATTGAACAGGAAACAGTATGATTTTCAAAGATGCATGGGGTAAGACAAATAAACTAAGTTAAAAAAATTAAAAAAAAATTTGTTGGTTATGTATTGGGCATTATTCTACCAGACAAGAGCTGTACGAGATAAGAGCACAACTTTAAATTAAAATGAAAATTTAAGTAATAAAATGACTGCTTTCAAGTCACATATAAATGTACACATAGGCTGGTGCAATAGTACAGCAGGAAGGGCATTTGCCTTGCACAAGACCAACCCAAATTTGATTCCCTGCACTACATGTTTCCCTAAAACATCAGTAGAAATTAAATGGAAATGAAGAGGGTGTGTATTTTATATCATATGCCAAGATCACATAGCAAAGCTTGAGGGCTGGAAAATAATCATTCCAACAGGTCAACCATAACTCTTTTCAAATTATCTATTTATCAGTGAGTCAGTTATGCAATTATGCTATGTATTAGGGAAATAATGTGAATTATTTTCTTCTTTTCAACTCCCAGAATCAGAAAGTCTAATCAGAATGTGCCTCTTTCACATGAAACTCAAGAGACATGTAAGATTATGTCTTAAGAAGGGTTTCCTTTAAGATTCTTGGCTTTGTTTCCCAAAAACTGGTTATTTATTGTGAAAATAGGATAAATAAACAAAAATTAGAAATCTTAGGAGACATGTTTTATTTTTGTTGGAAGATGGTCTAAAAACTAGTAGCTAACAAACTCTTCTAACAGAGAAATAAGACTACCTAAATCTTTCCTTAACAAAAAGAGGTGGCAAGGAACATTCCATTTTCTTTGAGAATTCAGATACTTCTATGTAGATTATGTCAATGTTTGACAGCTTTTCTTGTCTATTGTGAACTGTCTAGCTTGAATGCTGACAGCTGTAAAATTTTGATTGTGTTATCATTTTTATGTCAAGTGAAAGAAGTTGAAATACCCATATATATATATATATTTTTTTTGCTTTATGGGTCACACCCGGCGATGCTCAGGGGTTTACTCTTGGCTCTGTACTCAGGAATTATTCCTGGCAGTGCTTGGGGGAAAATGATCCAGAAATATACAGTATCTTATATATTTAAATTGGCAATTGCTTCTCTTGTTAAGTTGACTTTAAATCATTATGCATTCTCAAGAAAACTGTGATTTTTATTTAAATAAGGAGATCTAAGCAAATGCATTGCAGGAGGTGTCAAAATGTGCACCAGTCCTCCACTTGCCACTTACACTCACTGGCTTTCTAGAGATCTATTTATTAACTGATAGAACTTTAGACAAACATAGACTGGAAGCCTACCAATAATTAGAAGCCCTGAGAATGAACTATGAGGTAAAGAACTGAGTCCTTACCATATAATTATCAATGATTCATCATGGTAGGGAGGCAAATGATACAGCTTTGCATCATTAGAAATAGAACCCTTCTAGAAGATGAGGAAGATGATACCCTAGAATGCTCTTTTCAAGTAAAGGGGTTTGTTATGGATAAATCTAACTTCCAAGGTTTTCTACAAGGTTAAAACCTCATTAATTTAGATCCCACAATTCTGAACTTTTAATAGTAAGGTCTGATTTAAACTAAGTAGAATGAATATTTTCATTTAGAATTTCCTCCCATAAAAAAAATCTTTCAGAATTTTGAGACACACGTTTAATATGTATTAACTAAAAATGGTTCTTGCTATTTTAAAAGGAACATTTTAAAGAATTTAAAATTTGCTATTTTAAAAGGCGGATGTGCAGTCCACATGATATCACCTTAGAAGCAATGCATTCTTTAAAGTTATAGCCATGCCTTATTTACTCAGCATGGTCAGATTAGGAAGTGTCATCAAGAGGGTAGTAGACAAAAGTCAGAAAGAAGCTTAGAAGTTGAAACATTTAGTAAAGTTAGCAGTGGAACAATTCAATATTCCTTAAACACCCACCCTCCCCCCATACACACACCAAATAAAACCTTCAGTTTCATTTTAAAAGTCACTAGTTTGCATTCTACTGAAGAATGTGCTCATTTCAACAGAAAAAAAAAAGTGTTCTCTTTCCAGAATCTTTAAAACCAGCAAAGGGTGAGGAATCCTGTGTTTTAATGTCTTTCGACATATCCTTGAGCCTCTGTTTGAACAGCTGGTACAAATTTGTCACTTCTTCAGGAAGCAGATTTTGAGAAGTACAATGACTTGTACATAGCTTGTCAGAAAGAGCCAGTATGGAAACTTGAGCTTCTGTCCAAGCAATACAGTGAGTACACTATGACCTGATCACACTCCTTCTGTAGCACTGTCCTCCGGTTGTTCATTGATTTGCTTGAGTGGGCGCAGTAACATCTCCATTGTGATACTTGTTATTGTTTGGCATATTGAATACGACATGGGGAGCTTGCCGGGCTTTGCCGTGCGGGCGAGATATTCCCGGTAGCTTGCCGGGCTCTCTGAGAGGGGCAGAGGGACTGAACCTGGCTTGGCCGGCCAGATGGCCATGCACAAGGCAAACGCCCTACTGCTGTGCTATCGCTCCAGCCCCTTCTAAGCAGTAATATTTTAAAACTTTCCTCCTTTGTGAGGCTTACAAAGAGACCATCCACCAGGCTCACATGGCCAAAGAGATTAACAGGCTGTTCCTAGTGGATATGGGCTTTGTGGTGTCTATTTCGATAAAAGAACTCAGATGAAGCAGCAAATCTTGGTACTCAAAGACAATTTCAAAATGATACATGAAAATATTTCAGAGACATCTGAACAGAAGTCTGGGGAAAAGGGAGAATGGGATACTTGAGCTTCTGAGGCACCATGGAAATAGCAATAAACAACAATCTCAATCCAAAATATTAAAAGGAAGGGAACTTAGAAAGTATCAAAACAGTAGGAGTTGGGTGGGGCGGAAACTCCTTCTCTAGGAATCTGGATCAGATCACCTACTTAGGAAGCTTTCCAAAAAGGAGATGTGGGCAAAAAAGCAGGTAAGATAAGGTGAGTGCACAGAATAAACATGCATTCATTGCTTCCCTAGGCAGTTCTTTCCTTCTCACAATACTCATTCATTCACATTCACCGAGCTACTCTGTGTTACTCATGTGCTACTGCTGAGGGTCCTGTGGCAATGTCACAGGCTCTGCCCTCCAGAAGCTCAAAATCCTGTGTGTGTGTGTGTGGGGGGGGGGGGGGGGGGAACATCCAGTCACCTGAATGCAAAAGGAAACACCAGAAGAAAACTGGAACACATCCGATGAAGGAGGGGTATGTGAGAAGAACCCTTCCTGCTTACAGAGAAGCTTGTTCAAAGAGGAAGGGCAGAGCGCATGGATTGTTCTGGGAACTGTAAGCAGCTCCACATGGTTTGAGTGAGGGAGCAAGGGGGACACTGGCAGAAGTTCTGGTGGAGGCTGAGAGACAGGAGCATCAGGCATCAAGTATACCATGCAACAAAGTATGCTAAAGAGCCTGAACTTTTCCCTAAATAGTTTTAAGAACAAAGAGCAAGATACTTGGATTTTTTATCTTAGAAAGGTTGGCTACACTGGACAATAACAATAATTATTTAATGTTTGGCATAAACTTGTTCAAGAAATTTCAATCTCTTGTTATGGTATGCTTTATTTTTTTGGGAGGAGGAGTGGTTTGAGGCCACACCTGGTGATGTTTAGGGCTTACTACTGGCTCTGCGCTCAGGAATCACTACCGGTGGGCTTGGGGGACCATGTAAGATGCCAGGGGTCACATTCTACCCACTGTACTCTCTCTCTCTCTCTGACTTCTTGATGTGATTTTCTTTCTAGTTTCAGTTTGCATATCGATTTACTGCTACTCCGCCAACAGAGAGACAGAGACATTTTATGTATGCACACCATACTCTCTCTGTTAGCTACTTATGGGGTTTTTAGTAGATTTTAAGTAGATGTCAAACAACTTTGCACTGCACAGAAAGGAAAACTTAAGATCTGAGAGGTTTAATAATCTGGTTTGATTCCAAGTGCTTTCTGTACTATATCAAACTAACTCCTTTCAACATTTATTGTATGTTAAATACTAAATATAGATATTTCTGAAAGAAATAACATATTTCTAGCATCTCTATTATAATTTATCATTTTTCAAGACGCAGAGTGATTGTCATAATTACTTACTACCATACTAATTTTAACATTAAAAGAGACTTAATTTCATCAAGCAGTCTATGTTTTATTTTCAACTAAAATAGTAACAATCATTCAGTCTTTTTATATGAACTGAGTTCAAATAAAGTCTATATCACAATGAATTTCATCTTAAAATATATTTTTTAATTCCCCTCGACTAACACTTTTTCCTATGTTTCATAATTACCTGCTGAAGAAATTGGGTTGTATCACATAGAGTTGGGAAGAATTGTAATTTTGTTGAATACAAATATGTATTTCTGTCTTCAGTGTATGTCTCATAAAGTGGGTTGTCCAAAGGTTTAGTTAGGTTGAGATTTAATTGGGGGAGAGAGAGGACAAGAATAACTCATAAATGAGGCTATGTTCTACCATGAGGTACACAGTTAGTCCTTTGGTGATAAATGAAGCCCTTGATGATTACTGCCTCGACTCAATAATTTATTAGTTGTTTAAAAGTGGTGAAGAGGTCCTGCATAATAGTACAGTGGGTAGGACATCTGCCTTGTATCCAGCTGACCCATGTTCAATCCTTGTTATCTCATATGGTCCCCTGAGTACTGCTAGGAAATGATCCTGAACTCAGAGCCAGGAGCACCCCTGCGCATTGCCAGTTGTGCACCACACCCCCAAAAGTGGTGAACATAATTTTTATATTGTTCTTCTTTACTAAACTAAGGCTCACAGGAGTAAGTACATTTATTTGCTTTCAAACCAAACTATCCCAGAGTGCTCTGTTCCTGAAATAACTGGGTGGGGGTGGGGGACTGGGCCACACTGACTATAGTTTATGATTTAGACCTAGTTCTATGGCCAGGGAACACTCATGGCACTCTTGAGGAACCAAATAAAGTGTCTGGGATTAAATCTTGGTTGACTGCAAGGTAGGAACCTCACTCCTGTACTATCTCTCCAGCCTCAAATGTTCACGGAAATTGTATCTTTTCATTTTTGGTTTTTCAGCCATACCTCGTGGTGCTAATGGCTTACTCTTGGTTCTCGGCTGAGAGGATCACTCCTGATGAACTTGGGGGATTGTATGTGGTGTTGGGAATCATAGCTAGAAGAGCCACATGGAAGGCAAGTGCCCTATCCACTGCACTGTCTCTTCAGTCCCCTGAATTTATATCTTTGGTCTGAACAGTTTTCAGCATCTTAGTAATTCTTATTGATGTTTTTAGCCATCATTCCCACTAAACAGTTTCTTCCCCTTTCTGTTTTGTGACTTCTAATTTGCTCTTTTATTTGGGTCCAGCTAATTAAGCTCATTGTACTGACAGAAATAGAATAATAGAGATTGGATGGTTCTCTTATCAGGTGACTGATGTCTGTGCTCTTAGCTATGTCTATAATTCAAGAGTAACTGACCTTTGAAATTAGTTTAAAATGATCAGTTATTCTTATGTCAACTTCTAGTCTCCAGAGATGCATAACATCAGTCGAAATTTCAAGGACTCGCCTCTGCAACACAGGGATTTTTATCTCCCATCATGTCCCGCTTTTACCCCTGGATATAGTTCATGTATAACAATGATTGGGAATATTCCCTGAGCAGTGCCGAGTGGCCCAACAACCAAAACCAAGACAAAAAAAAAATGGAACCCGGTATGTACACCTCATAGATTAAAAAAATTAAATTAAAAACATAGCTCCAAAGACTGGAGTGCATGGCTCACGTGTGCAAATAGCCCCTGTGACTGAACCACTCCAGCACCACCGGTGTAGTCCTGGAAGCCCTCGTTGTCTCCATCACCACTGGTCTCAAGTGGTACTGCATTACCAGAAACCAATACTGAACTATCTTGTCCGGTTGTCTGCTTACAACTGGGAACGGTTCCAGGATCCTTAAGGATTTCTTGGCAGTCTTTCCCCCAAATTACATCCAAGTTACTTAGAACATCACTGAACCTGTAAATGTCGTTACTATGGAAAATGCAAGAAATATGGTGGCAGCCAATAGTGTCCAAAGAAATCTTCCATTGCTTCCTCCACTCCTATAACTAACCCTGTATTTGACCCTACAGTTGAGGGTCTCACAACAAACCTATTAGCAGTTTGTGTTCATCACCTGCTGTATAGAAAGCTATCTGAATTCCAAAAAAAAAAATTAACAAAATTAGAAAAGTCTAATCTTTCAAAGTTTAGGGATAAAGGTGAAGTCATCTTCTTCGAGGATAAGAGTCATATCTAAAGAACATACTTAAGTATATTTTACTTGGTAGAATATCCTTACACATCTTCTTGGCACTATGCCCACATCAAACAACATCACAGAATCTTTCCTCTTCAATACCCAATCTCTTCAATACTATCAGAAAGGCCTTTGTGGATAGATGCTTGAATTCAGATCCTCATGAGATTAGGTTAACAAGTGATACTAAAACAATTCTGTCAAATGCCTAATAAAGCAGAGAACTAAAGATTATAAAACTTAAAGATTATAGTTAGAAACGTTAAGAGCATATCAAGTAAATCCAAAGGGAATAGACATTTTTTAATAAAAATTATTAACAAATACTCTTCTCATCCCCATTCATTATGACTGTTCTGAAGCAAAATATAATTAGTATTATGAGTAATTAGCTAGCTGGTGACCAGATGGTATGGATGAAGGCCACCACCTAAAGAGGAGGTGCAAATGGAAATGGCAGGTGTCTAACCAACATGTCTGGGGAATGTCAGTGCCATAAAGTGACGTCATTGCATGAACCTGGCCATCCGTAGGCATATTAGAAGACAAAATTAATAGGAGATTTCTCACTATGAATTCAAAACACAGCACTGGAGGGGTCCCTCTGGGTCACCCCCAGTTAACAGTTATCTAGTCACTTTTGCACACCAATACCTGTAACAGACACTGTCCGTGCAGGGGTTATGAACCCTGACAATGACGAAAACGTGCTGGAAGTGGGATCTGATGTTTTTTGGGCTGAATGGCTGTGCTCCTGGCTCTTGGAAAACGATGGTTACAATATCATTGCCAATGTGCCTCTTCCGTAGGAGCTATAAGAAAACATAAGCAAATAACATAAAGGAAAATGTTCTGCTTTTTACTTCCCAATTCCTATATTTAAATGAACTTAAATATTCATTAATCAGTACATATTAGGTGGGTGATCTGCATGGTGATCCTCAATATTTTAGCCTTATATTTAGCCTGTCTTATCATTCCCTCTAACGAAGAACATGGAAGTAAATATTCTGAAATTTGCATAAAATATATAACCCATTCAAATAGATGTAACCAATATTTGGTGTATTATGCCAAGTCTCAGCATCTCCAACCCTTAGTTTCCATAACAACAGTTTCATTCCATTTTCATATGAGAAAGGAACTTGCCATGGGGAAGATTTTTAGAGATGAGAATGGCTAAAGTAATTATAATGCAATTTATGTACTGGCTTAATTAGTTTCATTTGAAGAAATGTGGCTGAGTTGTTTTCTGATATACTTTTCGTGTCACAAAAGCTGGAAATGTAATAATATTCCATTATGTCAAACTGGAAATTAATAATATTCCAGAATGTTGTAACAATTAAAAAGCAGGTTAAACTTCAAGTCTAAATAACTTCTTTAATTATAGTGAAAGCTGCTGAAGACCACCTCTACTTCACACTAACCTGTGTCCTCGGAAGAATATTTTCAAATTTAGGCAGCCTCACTCATCCTAAGCCAGGCCCTTTTCAGGAGGGGTTTATAAACAGTTAAATTTAGCAGTATGAAGAAACATTGAATAAATGGGTGTTTCTTATATGGATTATGAGTAGACTATTAAGAAAAGAAAAACAGAAACCAGAGATATAGTACAGGGGTCAAGATGCTTGCTTTGAATGTGGATAACCCTGATTTAATTCCCAGCACCAGATATGGTCCCTTGAGCACTGCCAGGAGCAAGCCTGAGTACCCACCCCTACCCAACCACCAAAAAGTAAAAATAATATTAAAGAAAAAAACAATTAAACATGCCATTTATATAAATTACCCATTGGGTATACTTATTGTACTTATGAATTTGCATTTATAAAACTTTAGAAAACCTCCAGTGACATTAATGCATACAAATTATATAGAGCAAGATCAATGATCTAGTATTGGCTGCCAGAAGGGAAGGACTATAGTCATGTAGAATAGGGCTGAGAATTGGGAGTTAGAATGTTCAGGAAATGTACTTTTAACCTTAGGAATTTTAAAGCAGCCCAAACTATCCTTTAATTAGACCATTTACTTCAATTCTAAGCATGATAATTTATGGATATAAAGGCTGGTCTGTATTGGCTTCTATACACAATATAGTCATTATGAAGGATTAACTTATTTGGAGTCACGGGCATACCAAAACCAAATACAGTATCTGTGTGTTATGTATCATTCCAGCACAGATGATGTCATTGTCTTTTTAATGCAATTCTTTCTTCAAAATATAGCATAACATATAATAGTGAGGACACAAATAGAAATTAATTCATCTATCCATTCGCATGATGTAGTAAGTTCTTTAAAGAATAGAAATGTAGCAGTACATTACTCTGTGGCGATGATTTAGATCATAACATTTATTCCTTTATTAGCCCTTAAAATTATTTTAGATGGTTGTCCATTTAAATGCCAACTCACTATGCTCAGCATTTCAATTCACTCAATTAGAAATGATTAACTGAATAACACCATCCCCATCATATCTTTTCCTTCTGAGTCATAAGGCAGAGTAAGCCTTTATCTTCTTCTTAAAGATCATTTGATAATTTAACTTTTTTTGTTTACTGATTGCTCAAAATAAAAGCAATCTAGCATACTTCTTAGTTAAAAAAAAGAAAAGAAAAAAGAAATCTAGTAGTGTAACACGCTTTCCTTTCAGAGAAACCTAGAACTTGGGATTTGCCTAAAACAAACTGTCAACAAACTCCACATCAGAGAATTTATCTTAAAACAAGCTTATTTCATTTCAGATTTATAGCTGATTCATTGTTGTGCTTCCTACCTTTGATTAGAGTGGTAATTATAAAAGCCAAAATGCTGTTACCTAGATTTGTGATTTAATCAACCTAAAATGATGAAGTGTTTGATTAGATCTGTGTTTGGCTAAATTCTGTGAAACAGGATGTGATTCATTCTGCAGCTGGTCTCTGTTCTGTTAGTATAACAATTGACAATAACAAAATCTCTGTCCATTTTAAGGTCAGAAGTAAAACTGGACTTTTTGTGTTTATAACTATTGAAAAGAGAGTTGTTTAACTACCTGCTTCATTTCCATTTCGGTATAGAACTGTTTATTTTCAAATATTTCAAAACACAACAACTACTACATACTCTCTAAAACAATCTGCCATTTTTCATTATGCAATTTGTCACTACTTGTCTTTCATATTTTATTATCCTTGGCTACATCTGGAAGCTTTGTTAGGTTTTTAGATCTCTTCAAGTGAAAACTGTGATATATACAACTAAACTGCATTTACATTCCTTACTATCTTTTGATTAACATGATAAGGAAAATTGTTTTTTCTGAGATCCAACTGGCAAATATTTTGCCTTTTCTTCGAATCAACACACCCAACCTCCTTTGAAATTTGAAATGAACTATCAATACTTTCCTACTTTCTCCATTGGCCTCTTGAGATGAAACTTCACCCACTCATGTATTCTTTGCAACCCTGCAGAGTCATCTAATCACCATGATTTCAACTTGTTCTCTTCAGATTTCATGAAAACCTCAGTCCCCGTGGGTGAAAAGCAAATGATTAATTCACAAAGCCATCCAGCTGGCAGTTAACCTAGAATTTGTGTCTCTTCATTTGTTTTCAGCTCATTTGCTATTCCTTACTTCCACAAAGTACAAAGCTTCCTGCTGCTGTGACAGGTGCAACATTAAATTCTGGTTTAAAATTTTACAAACTTGCCACTTAAGATTTCTGGGGAAAAATGAAGCAAGGGCAAAAAAAGAGAGAGGTGATGGCATTTAAAAAAAAAACACAGAATGTCTTACCTGTTGCTTGTTGTTAGGTGTGTATGGCAGCATGGTAGAAACATGGAACATAATTTCATAGTCCTTGTATGTTGTGTACAAAGAGTGAGTTCCAGTGGAGTCAGCTATCATAAAAAAAATATGAGTGAGAATATGCATATACCAATTTTTGGTAACAAAATATGACGACAATGTTAATTAGACTCATTGAACGTTAACTAGACTTATTATAATGATCATAATTGATAGAAATATAGAATCATGATGATGCATACCTCAAACTCATATCTCATCAATATCTCAATATCTCAATAACGGGGAGGGGTGTTATGGAGCTGGGGATCAAACACAGGTCCTCATATATGTAAAGCATGTGTTCTCTGAGAGAGCCACATACCCATCCTGAGAACAATTTTTTAAAGTCATTTAAGAGAACTTTCTCACTTTTTTTTCTTCTTGGGTCACACCCGGCGATGCTCAGGGGTTACTCCTGGCTTTGCACTCAGTAATCACTCCTGGTGGTGCTTGGGGGACCATATGGGATGCTGGGAATCGAACCCGGGTTGGCCGCGTGCAAGGCAAATACCCTACCTGCTGTGCTATTGCTCCAGCCCTTCAAAAACTTTTTTTAAAAGGAAATAGTTTTGGATGAAAGATCTTAGTGTCTAAGGTTAGATTAGTTGGCAGAGTGCCAGCCAGAAATGTGTGAGCCTTTGAGTTTGATTGCTAGCACCAAGTACCATCACAGAGGGTCCTCCTACTGATCACGAGTTTGAACTCTGGTGCACTGCACTCAGGAGTGTGTGAGCACCACAACTGAAAAGTGGATGATTCCTGGTGAGCAATGAGACCAAAGCGTGCAAGTACTGTAACCAGGTGTGTGTGACCCCTGGTCACGGGAACAACAGCAACAATAAGAGAGGCAGGTAAGAGCTAGTATAGATGCTTGTTTTGTGGAAGTACATTGTTAGGAGCCTGGCTGTGAGGTGGGGAGCACAAGTGAGAAGTAAACCATCAATGAAAGCAGCAACCACCTGTTTAGGAAAGCAGGGACAGGCCAGGACAGATACAAACTTGATTGAGCAGGGAAGCCCTGGTTCAATGACATCAAGGAAAATGACCTGATCCTCCTCTCAAATGAGCACTACCCAAACATTATGAGATTTTGGTGCTGTCTGCCCATGCCAGCTCCCTCTGCCTCTCCACACGGTGAACCTGTATCTTCCCAGTACTTTCATGCTAATTGAGTTATTCGTATACATGTGGTATCTTCAATAAATTGATAGTCTTCCTTTCTTTTCTTTTTTGGGTCACACTCAGTGATGCATAGGGGTTACTCCTGGCTCTGCACTACGGAATCACCCTGGCGGTGCTCAGGGTACCATATGGGATGCTGAGAATCGAACCCGGATTGGCTGCGTGCAAGGCAAATGCCCTACCCACTGTGCTATTGCTCCAGCCCAATAAATTGACACTGATTATGTATTTGTCTTAAGAAACAAGCTTAAAGGGCTGGAGAACAGTCTTTAATGTGGGAGGTCCAGGTTTGATCCCTGGTACTGTATAGTTCCTTGAGCATAGCTGCTGGGTGCAGCCACAACCCCCAAAATGTTATTTTCTTTTTAGTAAAAACAAAAGGAACAAAAATTGTTTTTCAAAAACTGCAAAAATATGTAACAATGTCTAATTCGCCCACACGGGTATTTACTTTCTAATTATTAATGGCTACCATAACAAAAGGTACTAATTACTATAATAAAGCATTTGATTGAACTATTTAAGACAGGCCTGAGTATGAAGAATTTATCTATTGTTAAGGATTCTTGCTATAAATATCTCTAGAACTGATTATTACACTTTATGACTTAAAAGTGAATGTGTCAGCTTTGATGTGTACTTACATATGCTTCAAAGTCAGTCTTAAAGCAAAATTAATGAACTAGAAGAAAAAAGAGTGCCATCGGTATTCAATTATTACATTTTGCTTAGGTGTCTGTGTAATTTTGAAAGGCTTACTGCCAGAGCGGAAATGTTATGTGGAAGACAACCCTAAGGAAGCAGAAAGCAAAAGCAGAAAGCAGAAGCCTTTGCTTTCTGCTTCTGGCCATTTCATTTCCTCCTTTGCATGTCTCAATTTATACAAGGTTGCCTGTTGGCCAGTCTTTTGTTTTGTAGACATTTGGAAACCCCAGCATCATTTCAAAGTTTGGAAAGCATTTCACAATTCAGAGATAAGAACTGTATAGTACTGAGGCAAGGTGCTTGCCTTGCAAATAGGGGACCCTGGTTTAATACCTGTCAACACACATGGTCCCCTGAGCACTGCCAGGACTGATTACTGAGTACAGAGCCAGGATTCAGACACCTAGGTGTGCTAGGTATAGCCCAAGCCCAAATCCCCAAAATTTAGATATAAAATGAGGGTGCTGTTTGATAAAGGCACAAAGAATAAAGCATGGGAGAGGGACATAGATACAGTACAATATAGTACCGCGGATAAAGTACTTGCTTTGCATGCAACTAACTTTAATTTGATCCTCAGCACCACATATGGTCTCCCTAGCACTGTTACAAGTGAACCCTGAGCACAGAGCAAGATATAAGCCAAGCTGCACTGTAGCACTGTCCTCCTGTTGTTCATCAATTTGAATATGGCCAAAAAAAAAACTACGCAAACACAAACAAACACCCTAAAGCATCCAATGCAGTTAAATTATATTTTTATGCCCTTGAAACTATAAAAAATAATTAGTATAATAGTGAGGAAAAAAACTATTAGGGAAATGACAAAAATTCTTTTTAAAAACTTGGTCCTTTTTCATGAAATGACTGCACTCATTTGTGGAATATAAAATAACATATTATGAGACTAACACACAAGGACAGTAGAGACAAAGGCCAGAAGATTGCTTCACGGTTTGGAAGTCTGCCTCGTGAGTTGGGGGAGAAGGCAGCTGGGATAGAGAAGGGATCACTAAGTCAATGATGGTTGGAGGGATTACTCCGAATGGGAGATGTTTGCTGCTGAAAATAGATAAAGGACCAAACATGATGGCCTCTCAGTACCTGTAATGCAAACCATAATACCCGTAAGTAGAGAGAGAGTTGCACTGTAGCACTGTCCTCCCATTGTTCATCGATTTGCTCGAGTGGGCACCAGTAACATCTCCATTGTGAGACTTGTTACTGTTTTTGGCATATCAAATACGCCATGGTAACTTGCCAGGCTCTGCTGTGTAGGCAGGATACTCTCAGTAGCTTGCTGGGCTCTCTTAGAGGGACAGAGGAATTAAACCCAGGTCGGCTGTGTACAAGGCAAATGCCCTACCCACTGTGCTATCCCTCCAGCCCAGAGAGAGAGTAAGAATGATATAGTATGCCATAGAGGCAGTGGTTGGGGAGGGGTCGGGATTACGGGAGGGATAATGGGGACACTGGTGTTGGAAAAAGTATAACGGTGGAAGGATGAGTGGTTGATCATTGTATGACTGAAACTCAATCATGAAAGCTTTGTAACTATCTCGTGGTGATTCAATTAAAAAAAAAAACGATCATTTCTAAAGAGAAAAACAGGTTGGTAAAAGAGTAGTAAGACAAAGCTGCTTCTCATTTGTATGGAGCTTTAAAAGTAAATGCGAAATGCTGCAGTGAGCAAGAGTGAGAGCCGGAGGACATATAATCGATGTCATAGCCATCCCTGACTTTTTTGGGGAGTGGGTGGCAACAGTACCTAACAGTGCTCAGAGTTATGTGAGCTCAGAGTTATGTTTCCAGCTCTGATCTGGGTAGATCCCAGAGTTGCTTAGGGAACCATACTTGGTTCCAAGGATCAAACTGGGATCAGCTACAGCAAGTGCCTCAATCCCGGTACTGTCTCTCAGACCCTTACCTTCTCTTTCGGCTCAATACTTATTTTTAAGTCTAAAATGTGGACAATAAAGAAGTATGTGCATAAATTTGAGTCAGAAAAAAATAAGGTTTTTATATAACTATTTCCAGATCACAACAGACAAGTTTGAGTTAAGAAAAGTTCATTGAAAGAAAACAAGCGTATGTGATTAATTTTCTGAAAAGTTCCTACTTTCAAATATTTATTAACACAAAGAGAAAAATAACTAAACACAGATACTAATGAAGTCAATAGTATGTAAAAAGCTTAAACTCAATTTATTAATGTCCTTACCATTACAGAATACAAAAAATGCAAGACAAAATCCTAAAGTTGTTCATTTGTTTTTTAAACATAGTTTGAGATGTTATGATAGTTGGTAGCTGAGAATTATCCAATTAAGATGTTCACACCACCCTCTATGAAAACCTGCTGCGGGGTCTGGGAATGTAGAAGCCAATGCTTAAAAACCCTGCCAGGGACAAGTATAGACATCTGAAATACTGGCTTATATTGGTGAAGGAGGCGTGCTTTTGCTTTTGTGGTACTATTTCACACACTGATTAAGTGTTAGGAGAAAGCAAAAATGCCCCCACCTTCTCTCATCATCTGTATTTGCTAATTTTTTTTTTTGTACCTTAGGCATGGACATAAGATAGATTGTTTTACTTCAACAGGATGAGACCAAGAAGAGTGCATTAATGCTGTTTGTCATGACAGACAAACTTGGGAATATTTGTGTGCATATTGTGTGTATGTGGTGTGTGCATGCATGCATTGTGTATTTATTTAGGATTAAAAGCTTCTCAAAATTATTACCGTATCAAAAGAAAGGATAAGAGATGGTTATGAAACCAGTACAGAGGAGTCAGCTGGAATTTTCGACCTACTGGTAACAAGATCCCTGCAGTTTCCTGGATTTCCTACTTGGAATAATGATGGAATAAATAGAATGAATTTGAAGACATCACATTATTGTGAAATGACTATCGTTGCCTCTCTCAAGCCGGGTCAAGTGACTTCTCTGTATCCACTCAATGTTATAAGTATTATGAAAACTGATCTGCAGAAAACCTACTAAATAAGATCTTGAGATCCAGAAGCTAGAGAGCGCTCATCTATATGTAAGTCAACAACCTATAAGACCCAACAAGTCTTGCACCTCCTATCTGTGCAACCCCTGAAGGGCAACTTCAGAGACTATTTAGGGCCTAGTTGACCTTATTCAAGGCAGTT